GATTTCAAGAGAGAGAGACAGGGACATATCCAGAATCAGCAAGATCTTGAGAAAGACAAATATATGGGGTGAAGGACAGAGATAGGGAATTGGGAGCAGATAATAAAAATGTATATCATTATTGCAAGACTCAGAAAATGAATATTTTAAAAAAGAAGGTCTATTTTGTAATGGGCATCCTGTAATAAAGTCAAGAATAGAATGACAGAAACAGAAGGCCTGAGGATGGTTTAAACTGACAATGGAGCAGCTTTATTCTATTATGATGAAGGAATAAAGGAAAAGTGGGAAGAAGACAGCTTGGTGACAAAAGCAGATTGTGCCCTAGCTACTAGCACAGGGTAATTTAAGTTTCAAATATAGTGCCTTTTTAGCAAAACATAATTTCAGAGTAAATTATAATGTTGCTCAGTAACTGTTGACTAAGATAGCCTGTGAATTGATGTCTAATAGTTTTGTTAGTACTCTTTGAAATTTGTTAACTCCTTTCCCTTCCCAAAATTGAGGAGACAGAATATAAATTCCTCTATTTGAGGTTATTGCACCTCAGCTGAGTACAAACACAAAAGGCTCAGGCTTCACATAAACACTCTGAGGCCTGAGTCAAGGCCCCAAAAGATCTCTAAGAAGACTATTCAAATTGCTGCTGGTACCTATGCAGATGGCTCATCCATGCCAGGAGATGAGATTGGGCTCTGGAAGTCTTAAAGTAGAGGGGAGCAACACTTACCAAGCCACAGTGGCTGGCCTTGGGTATTAAAGAGTAGTCTCTCACTTTCCTGCTGACAGGCAGGAGCTATATATATATCGCTGCTAATTATTCGCTGTAGGTGGCTGTCTTGCCAATGCAATTCACGGCCCTCGATGGCTCTAGTAAACACTGTTCGTCTTGGTCTGGATAAGGAGTCTGGGGAAACAAAGAAATGCAGCAGTTCAATGATGGGTAATCTAAAGCTCTAACTTCTGTCTTCTTCAGGGTGGGAGGGTGGGCAGAAAAATAGTATGTGTAGTGAGAGCAGTCACTCTGCCATCTGTCTGGGTGTTTGTTGTGTTACCTGTTTATTGGATAACTTTCAGTGTGTCTGTGCCTCTATGGAAAGAATTTTTCTACAGAGATCTATGGCTGCCTTTTTACTTCTTACAGAAGATCAATTTCTCCTAGGATCCAGTCACACAAAAGAGAGGAGGAACAGTGGTGTCCAGCTGCTCAATTATGAGGATACAAACTGCTTCTCTAGAAGTCACAGGAACAGAGAAGTAGCTAGGTAATTTCTCTGGTCAATCC